AGCGAGGGGAAGAAGAAAAATGGTGAAGAAGCGGGCGGGAATGGCGTCGAGTGGCTGCCCAGGGAAAGAGCGGCCTGCAGCGATGCATCTCAACCCGACTGCTTGAGTGAGTGAGTGACTGACTGAGGAGTCCAGACTTTCATTTCTTGGGATGCCAATTTTGGCAGGCGCCGCAAGGTGCAGGCAGCGCCTGCCAGTCGAAGTAGTAGCGGACCCTTGCGTCTGGAGCTCGCTTAATTCGGGCAGGGGCCGCATGGACCTGGTTGACTGGATGAGGTGCATCGATCCTCAGAGCAGCGCGAGCCCCTTGTTCCAGATTTTGCTGTGAAGCATCGCGACCGAGGTACTGCAGCCATACAATTTGGGCGGGGAGGCTACATGTTTCGGCGTTCGCTGGTGACCCCTGGTTTCCAAGGCAAGCGTGGCGGCTACCCAAGAGTCAAGATCGCTGCAACCCCACGAGGACCGGTACCTTGCGGCGGGAGAGCAGCGCAGAAGGGTACTTACGGGCCAACGTCCCCACTTGGGCCTAGGGCCAGGTACCCCGACCCACCTACCCACCCACATCAGTACGTACTCTATCCACACAAGCGTGTAGCGCAGGCCATCTCCCGTCAGTCAACGTTGTTGCTGCTGCAGCTGCACTCGCAAAGTATCGGTGCCAAGACTCGCACTTCAACCTCAACCCTTCCCTGTCAAACACCAACCCGGGGCTCTTGTACGCAACGACGTCGACTGGCGCCCAGCACTCCCCATCAGAAACACGCGCTCTTTTCCCTGGCTCTTCGTCCCATAACGAGACCCGTCCGACCCTATGGCCGGCCCCCCGGCATTCGAGTGCTTTTACACGCTCTTTGGCCAGAATCCCCCTGTCCGAGTGCCATCCCGCCCGCGTGCCTCCACTGCTGTCGTTTTGGATCGCGACTTCCAAGATGCGCCGCATGGGTGTTTGCCTGTCGTTCGGGTCCCTTCTCCGTCGATCATGGCTCGCTCGCCCACCCTGCAGCGGCCGAGAGATGTAGAGTGGAGGAAAAAACCATGAGTCTGGGCAGATGAGTGACGGTAGGGATGGCATGGGTAAGGCGGCAGCTCGTCGTGAGGTGCCTAGTGCCTGGTGTGGTGACACGCTCGTGATATTAAACCCAACCTGGGCCTCGCATCCCAAAACGGTCTTGACCTCACCTCCTCACCCACCCGCCATCAACGCCTCTTTCTTCTTGTGCTGGCCACCGCCTCGCTAATTCGGGACGAACAAGGCAGAAACAATCGCATTGTTTCCCTTTTCCCTTGAGGCCTGTTATCGAGACCGCCCTACCTTAATCTCCGTCGCTTCTTTGTCGTACGCGCTTGAGGAAGCCAGGCCTCCTGCCTTTAACCCTCCATTGTTCCTTCCTCGGATCAACTCGACTGTTCGCTCGCCTCACCTCTCACCTCTCACCTGACCTCGACGCTCGAATTCACCTCTACCGCCGCCCCACTTCGACCGAAAGAAAGAGATAGAATCGACTGCTGGCCTCGACCGCATGTAGTACACAAAGACGGCCGCCCATTTCCTGTTTTCGTAGCCCTCTTCAGTTCTTGACTCAGCTGGTACCTGACTGCGCCGGACGTCTTAATCACAACAACAGATTTACGCCTCGGCCACCACTCACACAACCCTTCTCTCACACAGCCTTCCATTCAGACTTGCTCTGTTCACTTCTCAGTCTCGGCCACCTCAACTCAGTATTTCTGGCAGAGCTAGACCTCTTCCTTACAACTTCTGGAAAAAGTTTTATCTTCTTTTCAAAAACCTGCAGGAAAAAAAAACAAATCAGCCAACCCAACTTCGATTCTTCTGGAAGACTCGACCAGCAGACGCTCTTTCCCGCGCTAGACCCTGCCTCTCTTGGTTTGTTCACCTACCTCCCGTTGTTCACAACAACCAGCCCTAATATTTATTTTTCTCAGCCCATCACTCACTTTTTTGTGATCTTCACAAAACACTTCCCTGATTCACATTTCCAGAATCAGGCCCATCACAAGAATCATCTTTTGATCCTCAGCATCAACACAAATACCCTTATCCCCTCACTTTCCTTCTCACACCACTCACACCCACATCACAAATTTCACAATGGCGCGCAGTAACACTCTTGCTTTCGTCGTTGCCTGCCTGTTGGGCGCGCCTCAGCTTGCCAGCTCCCACACCTGGGTTGAGCAGCTCAACCGTGTCGCTGCCAATGGCACTCTTGTCGGTCCTGCTGGCTTTTCCAACGGCTGGCACGGTCGTGATGCCTCCTTCAACGACGAGGCCTTCACTAACCGCATCCCCAACGAGGGCTTCAACCTTTGCAAGCAGAACCTTCAGGGCACACAGAACTCTCAGTTCCCTCACCTGACCGCTGCTCCCGGCGACTATGTCTCCCTCCGCTACCAGGAGAACGGTCACGTCACCAAGCCTGAGAACCCCCCCAACAAGCCTCTGAACCGCGGTACTGTCTTCGTCTATGGCACCACTAACCCCAGAGCCAACGACACCCTCTTCGACGTTCATCGCCAGTGGACTGCTGATGGCAAGGGTGGTGACGCCCGTGGCAAGCTCTTGGCTACCCGCAACTACGACGATGGCCAGTGCTACCAGGTCAACGGCGAGTCCATCTCCACCGACCGTCAGTCCAAGTTCCCTCACCAAGCTGCCCAGCCCATGGGAGCCGATATCTGGTGCCAGTCGGCTGTCCAGCTCCCCGAGGATGTTGCCCAGAACTCCGAGTACACTCTCTACTGGGTCTGGTCCTGGCCTACTCTGAAGGCCTCTGCCGTTGCCAACTCCAAGAATGGCCAGTTCGCCGACTTCCCCTCCGACTTCAAGGGCGACAAGCGTGCCGTCACCTCTGATGATGTCACGACCGCTGAGATCTACTCTAGCTGCTCCACCATCAAGGTCCAGGGAGAGGCCCTCGTCAAGAGCGCCAACGCTGCCTCTGCCTCTACCTCCAACAAGCAGCAAGCTAACGCGCTGGCCGCCTTCAACTTCCCTGAGAAGCCCAACTACAACGCCATCGCCGTCAAGGACCAGATCCAGAACCAGTTCCAGGTTGACGTCAAGGGCGACGATACCCCCAGCAACTCGACCATTCCCGGTAACGGCGCTGAGAAGGTTGTCTCTTCCTCTGCCCCGACCACTCCCACGCCTACTCCCACGCCCACTGGCGACAAGGTCCGCACCGTCACCGTCACGGCCGCTCCTGTGACTCTGTACTCGATGCTCACCGTCACCATCGCTCCTCAGGCGACCCCGACTCCCTCGCAGAACCCTGCCAACCCTGCCAAGTTCGTCGACGGCGCTGCTCCCGCTTCGGTCAGCCCTACTCCCTTCCTGAAGGGTCGCCACGTCCGCGGCAAGGACTCCTGGAACTTCAATCCTCGCATCTAAGCCACGGAGGTTACTTGCTTGAGGAAGGGCCACATTATCCTTTCAGCAGTCTCACCAACAGACTTCACTCACAGCAATGACTTCCCTGCTTGAATGTTTCTCTTCTCACATTGCGGTCCTGGTTCGACCGGTTTCTTTTCTTTCCTTTCTCGTCATTACGACTCATTGACGCTTCTGACCCCACGCATTCCATGAACACCCTTGCCGCAATACCACTTTTGGGCATTCTTTCATTTTTCATCGGCCAAACAGTACATACAAAGGATACAGGGCATTGTTTCTCTTTCAACCCCCCTCTCCGGATTCACGGTTACGGAATTGGACAACAGTCATGAGGTCAACGGAGTATGAAGGGCATTTGAATTTTACAGGATACACCCCCAGGCGGAACGGGGTGGGGACGGAAAAGGGTTCAGGTTTTTCATCACAATTGGAGGGGCATACAAACGGTACTGGCATGTGCTGGGGCGTTCAAAGGGGGATTGACCTTTTCGGATGATACCACCTCTCTCTTTCCTTTTTTTCTTTACTTTTCAGGTCTCTCTTCAAGGATTCTATCATGTTTCTGGTCATATGGGTCTCCCACGAGGCCTCATCTTTTCTTGTTTTCTAGATCCTTTCCAGATTTGGGTGTCCCCCTTCCAGGTTGTGTGGCTCGACGCGACACTTAAGGGACGTGGGATGAAACTTGGAGGATGGCTTCGGATGAACGGGGGACTCATGGATGGAAGCCAGTACACTGGGCTAGATGCTCCAGTAGGTAGTCAAATGGAATCAAGTACAATCACTTCTTTGTTGCCTCGTGACACGCCAAGGTTATCGTGACTAACTTCCCAGTGATGACGTACCGTGACTCAGCCCTCGCTCTCCTGGACTTTGAGCGGGAATGTGCATTAAAGTGAGCGCCCAGGGAGTTGAAGTGAGCTTGACCTTGGCCTCTTTGACATGTTCCAAGCTGACTGCGCGCTTTCCAAGCTCACACCTGAATGAACCCAGGAGTTGGATCCATGGAGATGGGATGACTCAAAGCTGACATCAATGCGAAATGGGCCAAGGTTTGGATGACAATACTCTCTCATGGGGACTTGTTTGCTTGGATGGTTGGCTGATGGCCATGGCTTGAGCTCGCAGAGCATTATTATCCCACGCAACATCAAGGACTTGGACGAATCCGCGAGCGCTGATTGCTTGCCTCCATGACGACGAAGACAAAAAGTTGTACCTGGGAGCGTGTTTTTGTTCCGTGGAAAGTTGGATGCTATCTAGGCTTGTCTGGCTTCTCAGCTCTAGGACGGAGAGAACCATCACGTCGGCAACGGCGCGAAAACGATTATCATGTTTTGTCATCAGACGACTACCGCGGCTCTTTTAGTAATTCCAGTCCAGGAATAATACATGGTGGGAGGTCTAGAAAAGCTCCAATGGATCTGAAACCAGCCTTGGGCGCCCACTAAACCGGGATGCTGGGGTTGGGCATATCCATGGGAAACATGTGACTCCAGTCGATTGCTTCCTCCTCCGAGGCGTCCCTGAAAGCCCGTAGCTCGTCTCGACCCCTGCAAGACCCGTTCATTCTCTGCAAAGCTTACATCTCGCCGCACTGGGTGATGACCACATCCTGGTTGGGCTGGTCCTTGCCGCGATAGCCCGTCTTGGTGGCTTCCATCATCTTTACGACATCCATGCCGTCGACGACCTTGCCGAAGACGACATGCTTGTTGTCGAGGAAGGGCGTCGGGACCGTGGTGATGAAGAACTGGGAGCCGTTGGTGTTGGGGCCGGCGTTCTGGATTTCGGTGTTAGTGAAACTTGGTCGCGAGAAGCCGTCGCCGCGAATCCCCCGGGCTGAGACAGAATAGACGGGGCGCAAATCAGGAAAAGTTGGGTAGAGAAGAGAAACATGAGAAAATCACGCCATGGGAGGCCGGATGGGAGAACTTACCGCCATGGAAAGCAGACCGGGTTGGTCGTGCTTCAGGTTGAAGTTCTCGTCGGCGAACTTGGTCGTGCCGTAGATGCATGTGCTCCCCGTCCCGTCGCCGTTCAGGAAATCGCCGCCCTGGCACATGAATCCCTGGATCTACACGTCATGAATCCGTTAGCACCTCTGTATTCCCAAACTTCATCGCGCTTCTGTTTCGACATGCACGACTGCGGGGAGTAACTGACTATACGGTGGAACTTGGAGCCCTTGTAGCCCTGCGGCCGGCCCTGGGCGTTCTTGGACTCGCCGGTGCAGAACTGGCGGAAGTTCTCAGCCGTCTTTGGCACAACATCGTTGAAGAGCTCGAACGTGATGCGGCCCAGAGGCTCACCTACGCAGCACAAACGTCAGCGAACACCGCGGGGAAACGTGGGCCCGCAGGCTCGGGATGACCGGGGTCGGGAGGGAAGAAAAGAGGAGCGGGCGCCGGAGACTGGAAAGTCAAAAAGAGCCAAGCCGGGGCTGAGAATGTCAACGCCACGATCTCGTCGGCGATGACAGCAGTCAAGATAAGAAGGAACCCTCCCCTGTCGAACCGCCTGATCGGTGGCAGCGGGTAGTGCATGCAGCACAGAACCTTCGAGCCCAGGCCGTCCGTCTCGGCGGGTTGCCCACGTGCCCGAGATGTGCGAATGGCTTCATGACTTCACGACTTCCAAGACATAGTGTCTGGCCGACGGCTTCACTAGTCCATCCGGCGCCGAGCCCATTTCCCCCATCCTTCACGTCCCCGCACCGCCGAGCTGGTGGTCCCCAATGAGGAAAGGATTTCACATACCGCCAAGCGTAATATCAAAAAACACCCTGTTGACGCGATGTGTTAGTCTCTTGGGTGCTGCCGAGGCGTGGGCGCGCGACAATAATGGGCAAGGTCGGGGTAAACTCAAGACCCTTCTTTTTCGCTTCCCCGCCTTTGGAGGTTGGGGTACGTTGGACGCGTGGAGCTCAGCCACCGCGATACCTGCAGCCCATGCTTGCGCTGGACGAGCGGTCCCCGTTTGTAGAAGTGGTGGCGAGAGGAAGAGCAAGAGTGAGATAAGGCAGGTGTGCGGCGGAGCTCAATGCAGCCAAGGGGAGGTGCAAGTCAAGATCTTGCGGGGTGTAACATCAAAAGAAAGAGAGACAGCGGTTGAACAACTTACAGCGGGTTGCCGGATTCCGGGAGCTTTGTGGGAGGCATGGCTGGTAGAGTCGGCCGCGCGATACGTGTGTGAGTGAGTGTACCTGTGGGTGGGTTGAGCCAGAGAAATCAAATGGCGCTTCTTCTTCTGCTGCTGCTGCCTCCGTGGTCCTGGTCGTCTGGTCGTTTTCCGCGCACCCGGGAATGGGGCTGTGTTCGGAACTGGTGGGAAGGCGGTCGAGAACTCGCCTGAATCTGAGTTGGTTGGAAAAACGATTCGTCGGCTGGTGAGATGTGGGAACAGAGTTGTGAGGGGTACCTTGGAGGGGACTGGAGCCGAGTTGTCGGAACGGCTGGTAAAGAGTGGGTACCTCTTCCGCCGGGGCACAGCCGTTTGCATGCCCGGGCGGAGGTGCGGTGAGTACTCAGTATGACCTGCCCAAATGGGTCAATCTTTTGGCGTTTGGCATTCCTTCGAAGAAATGCCTCAACTAGGTACCGAGGCTTTCAAAGATCGTCTCCATTCAACGTTGGCGTATTCGAAAGGTCTCATGGTAGGTGCGTGCCAGTTTGGACAGTCCTTATCTAAGTTACACCCGGTCTTGTCGCAGGACGTCAAGACGCGAGGCCCATCTTGATGCTTAATACAGCAATGCCACTTTCCAAAGCCAAATCACCGTGTATTACTTGTAGCTACCCAAAATGATGCTGGTCAAGTGGAAGACCCAATAACCTCATATCCTCGACATAAACGCATCCATTTATGCAGCCGGGGGTTGGCCGTGCCCAGTTCTCAATGGCTTCCGTCCGTAGATCGACCAGCTAGCAATGTCAGAAAAGCTTTCACGACAGGGGGCCCCAGGTGCCTGCGGGAGTCTTACACATTGAAATAAGCGTGAATGCTTGTATCGTTAAGTTCCTTTCGAGCCTCCATCGCAATTATGTGAACCTCTGCTTTGGACATATCCAAAGCTCGCGTCAACGGAGCCATGAGAAGTCCATCCAGATTAGGCGAAAGATTCTCGTTGTTCCATGCTCCTAGGTTCTTGTGCTTCTTGTCCTGGGGCCAAGAGTTCGTCGGCCATTTAAACCGTTTCACGTTAACGTCTTGGAACCCGATCTCTGTGAGCATGCTCTCAAAGTGGCTGACGTCTTCAAATGGGGACCCGAGCTTTTCTAGCGCCTCAAAGCAGAGAGAAAAAGCCCTCATAAGTTTGCTGTCCTTCGGGATGGTGTCATCGTCTGTTTTCGGGAAGAAGTCGATATCGTTCAGCTCAAGATATCCTCCGGGAGTGAGATTTCTGATAGCAGAGAGATTAGTGGTCAGAAGAAGTATCAAACCCGAGTAAACTTACTCGAAGCAACTCTGGATGAACTTTCTCCAATCACGAATGCTACCCTTCATCATCCGGCTGTGGATATAGTCAAAGGGCTCATTGAAAGTCCACGGCTCCTCGATGTCGTCGATCTCGAAACGAACATTAGAGGGGACACTAAAGCCGCAGTCAGCAAGCTAATCGCAGAGGAACCCCTTGGGCTTCTTACAACTCGGGCTGAGAAGGAGACAAGTCAACGCCAATGACCTATATCAGACTATTAGTGTTGTTTGCATTGGAGGTGCCGTGGGATTCATTCACCTCGGCATCGGTGTGGTCCTCCCCGAATTCGATCGCCCACATGCCAGTGCCGGTGCCGGCATCCAAGACACGTCCGACTTTCGAGTTCTTTTCATTGGGCGGCGCAGTTCCCAGGGCATAGTCAAAAGTCTCAAGGTAGAGATTGTGTACAAGGTCTGCCGCGTTGTAAGCGATGAGCCTGATACCCTACCAAAAAACCATACCGAGTCTGTCCAGCTCTGTGTCATCATTAGGTGCCCAGTACTCTGCTTGAATCAGCCTTTGCTCGATCTCGTAGGGCTCGGATGTGCGCATACTCCCGTCCTTGTATCTGTGGTAAGTCCTTCCATTTTCCAGCCTGGACTCAAATATCGATTCTGCGACGGTTGAGGTAGAGCGCGCGACACTGCCCTACAAGCCACGATATTAACATCTGCTCGCAAAAGGACTGTCCACTTTGGACCGGATTTCTCGGCCACTCACACCATTCAGCGATACGTTGTCGTCCGCATCCTACAGCGAACGTGTCAGTGTGTGCGCACGTCACGACCGATTCAGGAACATCTCACCTCTTCAGCCGCAATTGCGGCCGCCGCAGCGACATCGCCCTCATTCGCACCGGCCGCGGTCGTCTCGGCGGCAGCTCCCTGACCGGGCTCCTGGGGTCGCTCAGTTCCCGTGGGTGCGGCGGCAGTGGGGCTGTTGTTGTCGGACATTTTTCTTCCCAGGCGCGAGTGAATGGCGCCCCGATTTAAAACTTGTCGGCAAAGTGAGTATGTGCGCTCGAGAGCAGGAGAAAATCAAATATTGCAAGGCCGAGATTTCGACCTGGGAGATCTTGGGTATTGAGTAACGTCGCCCTACCCCTCTTCTCGGCTGGAGACGAATTATCCATGTTTGCCCACTTCCAGATTCTACACGTATCTGCGACGAAACCCTGGTAAATGGGGAGCATTTACCAGAAGCGGCAGCTGGCGTGCGGCACAGCAATTGACGGGCCTGTGACATTGATTCCTCCATGGCGGTGTGCTTTTTCTTATCATACGTACCACAATGTTGCCATCGCTTTTCTCATTACATCTGACGTAGTGAATGCCCAGTATGGATCGCAATATCACCTTTGTATATCTCGGATCTGTCTACCAAATTTTGGCAATTGGCATTCCGCACAAGCCCAACGCCAGCCGCTGGCTCTGCCAACGTTCGCTCATAACCTGTCGCCTGCCACCACTATATCACATACGACCATATCCATCGGAAAATTCGGGATCCCGTCCGCTCTCCCAGGGACAAGCCGATGAGAGCCGGAGTAGTAGTCGGGTCGGTGACGACCGGCGAATGCCTGGTGTTGTATGTCTTTTTGGCAGTTTTGTTGGCTTGAGGCTGGTATCCGTTCTCAAACACGGCGGCCATTTGGGGATAGGACAAGCACCATCTAGCTGGGTAGTGAGTTTGGTTATGGCCCTTTGAATGCTTGTAATGCTTATATAAACTCGACATACGTTTTCGCCGTGGTTGTCGAACGTACGCGCGAGCCCGGTGACTAGACACGAATCCACCATGATAATTGTACACAACCACGTGTTTGCCTTGGTAGGCGCGGGTTGACAGTTCAAAGTACATACAGTTTCGGTGTTCAATTAGCAAACAAGGAAGTAAGTCTACGACTGGTTGATAGCTGTCATTCCTTGGTTTCGTTGCTGGAACACATGGCATTTGGAGAACGAGTTCTCAACTCGCCAAGTTCTGGATCGCGGAGTAGTGTCAGTCGAAGCGAAGCCGGCCCTCGTCTCGAGTTGCCGCTCTGCAACCTGACTGGAACTGCATGCCGCAGGCTGTCTATACACAGTCAATCCATCGGGCACAAGGCAGCCTACGTCGCATCATGCTTGAACCCCTTATACTCCCGAATGGGCCGTCGCAAAGAGCTCGTCTGAGTTCAACCCCAGTAGCTTGCGACCACTCGAAATTACGATCGAGACGTCCAGAGACCCCCGCGGCGAGGGTGTCGTTGCCAACTTCAGGGGGCATGATCACCGAATATATCTGAAATCCAACAATACAGAAGAGACCAAGGATCGACGGGGCCCCATCCGGCGCAGCTCGCGGAAGGGTCCTCTTCCGTCGGGCCTCCCTAGCACGGAACACCCTCCGTTCCGGAGCCGGCCGCGTCCGCGCAGGCCACCTCAATAACTATGACACTTGACAGGAATGCTTGGCCCTTCCGGACTCGAGTAATTGAACAGCACTGACCCCCTGATAACCCGAGTAAAAAAAACCATCTTCCCTGATGTCGGAGGGTTCCCCATGACTATGAACCCAAGGGAGGGCCGCCGCTGTACATAAGCTTCTTCACCTGAAAAAAGCTTGGTGTCGCAGTTGAAACAATAGATCAGCCACACGAGCTAGACGTGCATGTCTGCAGCTCGTGTCTTTCGCAGACAAACCCAAAGTCTGTCTGGGCAGATTTTAAATTGCACGACACAGGCTAAGAGGTTCTCGCGAACGAACTTCTCATCCCAGGGACCTCCCTCCCTGCGGACCATGAAGACTTTCCGTAAATGAGCCCTGCGAGGTCTTCCCGCTCTTCTCAGACACGTTATTGGCAAGGATGCCACATAGGAAGCAAGTAATACGCAGTCTCGCGTGCCAGTCGCCCCACGCGTAGCATGGCCTTTTCCCGCCCCTCTTCCTTTCGTCGTAGCCGCCCATGAAGTATCTTTGCTGCCGCACTTCTCTCCGGACGCCCAGAAGCACAACCCTCCCGCGGCTTGTTTAACCGCTGGCCGGTGGGGAAAGGAACGCAAAGGAAGGAGACAGGCACGGAAGCGGAGGCCCAGGATTCGGACGCGTAACCGGACTTCGGGTTGATTGAATGACTGCCCCGCCCAGCCCTCGGCCAAGAGAGGCTGGGAACGGGGCCAAGAGGACCTCCTCATCGCTCCACACCTCCGTACCAACCATCGTCTCCGTCGTCGCACACGACCAGAGATGTGGACAAAAAGAACTGCGCCATGTCGTGCAATCTGGAAGGACGGAAAGAATTCTTGACCCGATTTCTCGCATCAAAGTTCCTGAGTTGACAGCAGCAAGTGTCCCATTCTGACAACGAAACTAAACCGTCTCCGTCGGGCGGCGCGGAGTTCCAAAATCTGACCGTCCGGGCGTAGACCATCCTCGCCCTTTGCCGTGTTGCCCGCCGCCGCCGTTATCGCAGGGGCTTGCGCTGGGAAGCTTGATTCCAGCAAGTCCAGCCCGCTCCCCGGATGGCGCGGCGTCAAAGATCGACAGCACCAGCCAGGGTGTGCGGAGGGGACGAGGGGGGCCCGCAATGTGCACAAAGGAGTTGGGGTTCCATCGAAAATGATCTCATCCATTCCTGCCGACGACCAATTGGCTCATGGCAAGTCTTGAACCAGTCCAGTTCTTTTTTGCTGCAGACTGCAAGAGCAGCAAAACAACCCGTAATAATGGCATCGTGAGACCCCGTCGCCCTCACACGACCGGGGGTGCTGTTATGTTTCGAACGCGGTTCCCCCACATAACCCACGCATGGCCGGGTTGACAGGTCGCCTGCGCGCTCTCGCGCGCGCCAGTTGTATCCGTTTTGCGAAGTGATCACGGTTGCGTCAAGACAGAGTGCCGGCGGCGAGAAGGGCAAGACACGGCGAAGTCTATTGGACGCCGGTGCTCGGCAGTGGGAGTAGCCAAGATCTATGATTTGCGATTTTGGAGGCATGATTTGCAATTCGACATCGGGACATGTAGGTCGTCCGTGAATATTATCACAAATGGCCTGCATAGCCCCTCGCGCCAGTCGTGCCCCGCGAGAGACAACCAACACCGCATATGATGGCATCTGCATTCCCCCGATGAACCCGCGACGAAGGAGAAGCTCGGGAGCCTCCAAACGACTCGTGGCCTGACATCACTTTCTTCGGGATCGAAGCTTGGGTCGTATCATTTCATCCTCGGGAACCTGTGGGCAGAAAACGGGTTTTGTCTCTTTTTACCCGCAGCGCACGGGAATGGTCAGATGGTGTGCAAAAGATTAAGCTTGCGGGTGTCGGCATGTTGCGATAGCTGACCACGAGTTCCCGGCATTCCCGCTGGGAGACTCGTGGTGTGTGTTCGGCGCCAGCCTCTGAGATCTGGCGACGATTCCCTCCAACGACGATAAGAAGGTCGGCTGGTTTGTTTAAGGCCGTTCAGGGTCCACCAGCACCCGAAAGAACGCATGCTGCGGTGAGGATGATGATGGCATGATCCTGGCTGTTACAGGGTCCTTCTTAATAATCATCCAGCCTTCGCAACATTCCTTTTTTTTCTCTAGCATTTCGAGCTTGCTGCTTCAACGTAGGTGAGTCGCCTGCCAGCACATGAGGATTTTGCATGACGAGTAGTTTGCCGAATCGACCACCACCCCAGCCGACGCGCCGAACTCTCAAAGCGTACGGGCGAGAAGAACAAACAAGTGCCGGTTGTGATGATGATTGACACGGAGGCGCAGGTCTGGACAATGGCCATAGTCCCGAGAATAGGGGGCAAGGCCATACTAACTATGGCCGAATTAACGGGAGCCAAGCCGTTCTCGTCGCCGTCATCGACGGGGGATTGGTGGTGTGTGTCCGGAGTCTGCGGCACTCACCTTCGGTCAGCGTCATCTGTCGAATCAGCCTCCCTGGGCGCTGGCCATCAAATCCCCAGACGCACCGTGAAAAGACTAAATTCTCATACTGTCGGGCTGTTAGCGACGGATCAATCGGCCTTGCTTCCTTTACACGCATCTTACAAGTGACACCGGTTCCTACGTCTTCTTACAGTAGCTTGTTGCACGTCTGGAACCCTTTCAGTCGATGGAACGAACCACGTCTTTGAGCTATGGAAGCCAGCGCAGCGTTCTCTGCAAGCTATCTTCTCTCGACCGGTGAAAATTGGTAGAGCAAGGAGCGTTTTTTGGTTTTCAATTGCATTAGCTGGGCGCCCCCGGAGACTGCAGTGGTCCTGGCGTCGGCCAAGCTTTGCTAAGAAAGCGTCTGGGCTCCTCACAGGGGGTAGAAGGCTTGAGACGGACAACAGTGTCTTGAAGGGACTCGCCAGTGAGGTGAAAGAACTCGCCGTTTGACATCTGATAAGACGTTCGAGACACGCATGTGCTGCATTGCCAGCGTTGCGCTATTATGCTTTTCTTACGTCTGACACCTTTGGTCGGGCCTAAGGGACACTGACTTCCAAGACAACACTCAATTCCTCGACTAGGTGAGTGGCACTGATAAGTCAATGAAGAGGCGCCAGACGGAAGTTGCAGATGCGCCTTTTGGGAGTGCCGACGGTAGGGCCCGAGGAGTTGAGGCGACACGTACAAAGGAGGATGCATTGACGGTGCCTGAATCAAGTGCGATACAGAGCACACCGCTGAAGATTACATCGTGGCGAAAAGCGTCGTCTTTGTCTGTGATGCTGAAACATTGGAAAACTTGGGGTGAAATCAGTTGCCCGTCGGTCTAAGCGTTCCGGTCAGGACCATCTGAACTTCCCACTGGCTGCAGCGGTATACCACACGCGCGTTGTTCGTCATGGGCAGAAGTCAAGAGCTATTAATTGCTCTCGTAAGATTTGAGCTGACTGATCGTGCGTTAGATCGCAACACTGAGATGCAGGTTCCATATCGAACGTGTCTGAGGTGTTCAGATGCCTGCCTCCCAATGAGGCGCAATTCAGGACGTCGTATTCCGTGCGAGGCGGGGTGCGTTGTTTCTCCTTTTCGTATTGCGCGGATACGTGCGTGATGTAGGTACTCTTCTCCCGTTCATGCGGGAAGACGAGCCGCCATCCTGGGTTGGGTGAAGACAGCGACAAGGGCCTCGAATTACCGTGTTGGCCTGGCCGGGCCGGGAGAGCCTAGTGTCGGCTCGCCGAAGCGCTGCCGACGATGTAATCGAACCGACATGGTTTTCTTGAGATGGCTTACCGTCCTCCGCCGGGAAGCACGTTCTGGCCATTCGCCATCCGAGGCTTCTGAGTCTGACGGGTTTCCTGACAGTGTTTGACTCGACGGCAGTGTTCTTGCGGAGCTTGTCCGACACGGAAATAATCCAGAGACACCGAGCTAAAGAATTGCTTTTGCTTGTGAAGACCGGGGCGTAGAGTTAAAACAAACTGCCACGGCTGGAAGAAGCAAAAAGAAAGAAAGAAAGAAAATCAGTCTGATTAATCCAGGCCGTGTTTGTAAGCTTCCTCCCTACGCAGAGAAGCCTGTGCCAGCCAGCAGGGGTTTCGTTGATGGCGGCGGAGGATGAGAGCAAGTCGCCAACGTGCCATTTTGATTTCAGGCCCTGCCTATCGTGATACTCCCTAGAAAGCGGTTCCATGCGGCATGATCATCGGAAAGCAATCGGCGCGGCGTACACGCGGTGATTTTGGGCGGGCAAGTCGCGAATGACGAAACACCGAACCGTTCAGATTCTCGTTCGACGCACTAGACTCCAGCCGGTTTTCTTTCTGGCGAACGCGCGCCAGGGTGTTGAAGTTGCTTCCTCGCTTCTCGGACTGGATGCTACTGCATGGTGTCGCGGCCTCTTCCATCAGCCGCCGCAACCCCACCCTTTACCTCGTTCTTTGGGGTTTGGGGATCACCAAAGTGTCGGAATGGGGCGCCGGGGCGGTTGGCGGTCGGCGGTGACGGTAAGGACCAAGTTTGAGTGGCTGACTGCCGTGCTTAGTTCGGGGGCGAAGGCGGACGGCAAGGGCGAAGAACAAAGGCCTTTGTTCGAGTGAACACACAAATCTGTTTACCGCAATCTCTGGAATTCGATACTTGGCCACTGATTGAGATTGCAAGACGGAAATATGGAATGTGAATGCTCGGCCGTAGACTGGGCGGCGCGCGATGGCACGGATACCATATGCGGCCCATTATATCGGCATGGAAAGACCTCTCGGCCGGGTTGTAAATCGTGCGGGCGAACGTCTTTTCTGGAATCTCAGGCGCTCTGGGCGACGAAGCGCGTGCCCGTTTCGCAGAAGCCCATGGCGGTGCGATGCAGGAACGCGTACCTTGTTTGGGAGACTTCGTATCAAGTTGGCCCCTGGTGATATCTCCTCTGGGATAGGGGTCGTAACATGGAAACCCCTTGATTCCAGGCGGTATCAGCCTCCGAAGCGGGAACATGACGACAAAGGGAAAACGGTCAGCCCGAGAACGGTTGAAGAGTTAGAGTGCGCTTGCTAGAGGTTCAAGGAGAAGGTAATTGGAAAAAGGATGCAGTTGTGATGCCATTCAGAAGACGTTGAGATGTGAGATGGCCATGCAAAAAGCAGCATGGTGGCAAGACCAGGCCAGCCTTTCCGGCGAACAGGTGTTGGCTGCCGCTAAGGCGTAGTATCGGTAGAAATAGCAGTCAGCTCGATGGTGAACCCCTGCTCTCAGCGGCTGCAAGGCCCTCCACTGCATTCTCAGTCCTGTTGTGTGGTTCCCCCGCCTCTCTTTCTTGGTTCCCCAGCCAAGGGCACGATGCCTGCTGGAACTTGGAAGCAAGCTACCCACTCGACAACTTGAACACTTTAGCAGTCTCGATGCTAAGCTTGAAGGGGGATGGTGGTCTGCTCGAGAGCCCGTCCCACCACTCATAATGTGCCTAGCGTGCCGTTATCTTTCCCAAACAAGACTAGTTCGGCTATCCCGTGGACTGGAAACGAAGTGATTGACGGGGGCTTGGGTCCAAGTGCTTGACTTGCCTGACTGGCGCCCGGACTCTCTGGAGTTGAGCCCATGTCAGGTCGCTTGGGGTTTGAGAGAATTGTTGGTCGCTCAGCGTCTGTACTCACGCTGGAGAGGTCAGCTAATCAAATCAATAAGGCTGTCAAATCATCCAGACCACGGCATTGTGATTCGCAAATTGCAAATTGCAGGTCACAGCGGAAGGGAAGGGAAGGGGAGAAGGGGACTTGCGACGTACTCTCTCGAGAGGCAGTGATACCGTCCGGTGTTCATGGCACCCTCCTCTGGCCTCAGCTCTCTCACACTCAGGCTCTCAGCTGTGGCAGGGTGCGCGGCAACAAGGTGCGAGAGGTGAGATGGGAGGTGCAAGCAACAAGCAGAGGTGGTGGTGGTACGTAGTCACGTAGTGTAGTGGTGGTGCACTGGTGCGCAAATTGAAATGTTAATTGTTCAATTGTCTGAGGGATCGCAGTAGCACAGTGCAGCCAACACGGGTCGCCCTCAACCTCGCTCGCCCGGCCTGCATTTTGCGGGAAAGAGGCCCCAGGTCTCCACTCCTGCCTTCCCAGCTCCCCCTCCACCTCCTTGCAGCACCAAGTCCAGTGCAGGCAATGCCCAGGCTCCTCTTCGCTCTTCCCCGTCATCTTCTCCCTTCTCATCCTCGACTCAGTCAGGAATTTAAGTATCGGTTACGATAGTGCGAAGACAACAACTGAATGCAATTCCCTCGTAGCCTTCCTCCCGCCTGGCCGAGAAGGCAAACGGAAGCCAGCCCCGGGGAAAAACACAACAAGGAACCAAAAAGAGCCCGCAGTGTGTTGGCTTGCTCTTTCCGGTCTAGGTGGTGTACCGGGGGGTGTCCCCCTCAGTGAAGGTGTGTGTGTGAGAGCGTGTGTGTGGTGTCTGGGTGTCCGGGGGGTCCTTCCTGCTCCTCGCACTCACTCCCCTTGCCCGTCGGCGTCGCTCCTGCCTCACACTCACGACGCTCTTTACCCGCCCGCCGCCTCGCATTTCCACTTTTATTTCTCCTACGTCGACCCGACCGGGGGGCTGTGTTACTGTCCTGTCCGTCAGAGAGTGAGCGTCCCACAGCACCGTTCCATACTTATCCCACTCCACCTGCACTCTCCCACCCTCCGCACCCTTCCTGCCTGCCTCTGTCAACTCTCAACCTCCCCCATCCGACTTTGAGTCGTGAGTTTTCTCTCGTTTCAATTTCCCTCTGCTCACCGCGACCGCTGTGCAACACGGCTTGAGTGGATTGGGATATCGACTCACTGCCATACCCTCTGCCCGAGGGTTTTTTCCTTTTTTTTCACTGCGACTTGCGTTGATTGCAGGCCGCATGCGATCGAGGGTTCAGGTCGACCATTTCCGTCACGAGACGCTGTTTTCGGATTCCGCGTTTCACCTCTAGGCTCTTGCCTTCCCGCAACAGTCAATCAATCAATTCATCGATGCCCTCGCCTTTCCTGCGACCGTCATTATTTTCCGATATCAACATCCGCTGGTGTGCGATCGCTCTTCTTGACGACTCCGCCTCTCGATTTCGAATCGATCAAGTTTATCCGTCATCATGGCAGTCATCAATCAAGTCCTCGTCGAGGTCTCGCGCTTTGTAGTGCGGCAGGCAGTTTCGTCGGACACTCCGACTTCTACCCTCCCGTCATCTGCAGCCTCCTCTGCCGCACCCTCGACGACTTCACTCGATCCCTCTTCCATCACCCCGACTACATCAAGTGACCCTCAGTCAACAACCCCCGCTGGCGGCAATGGAGGAAACGGAGGGGGAGGTGGCGGTGGCTCCACGAGCTCGCCTCTACTCTTCTTCGTGGCTCTCGGTTTCGGCGTCGTATTCACTAACCTCTGGTGAGCCCTCTGCCACTTTGGCTTCCTACCGGGGCCATCAGTATCTAACATCTGCTTCAGGATTATCGTTGGTGTCAAGTACTGCTTCCGCTACAACGCTCGCAACCGCGCTATGCGTCTGAACGAGGACGGAGAGCCCATCAACCTGGAGAACATGCCTCGCCCGCACCGTCGCCGCCGTGAGAAGAAGTTAATGACGATGGATGAGGTGAACGACAAGTTTCCCATGATGAAGTACAAGGCATGGGTTTCCGAACGTGCCAGAGAGGGTCTCCCTACGGCCGGCGGCGTCTCCGCCCCGCCGAGTCGCGCAAACAGTTTGCGTTCCGTCGATGGCATTGTTCCCGAATTGCCTTCAAAGGAGAGGCATTCGACTGAGGAACGCCCTGCCACCAGTACCGGTATCAAGGCAACCACGTCCGAGAAGCAATCTGAGGATGCGACCAAAAAGGAAGGCGATAACTCGACCGCGATTGCTGACGCTACTGGTGCCCCTGTGCAGTCTCCGACTTCTGCTACTCCCCTCCAGCGTGTCCATAGTGAGGATGACGAGGAGGATGATGAGCACATCAACGCTGCTCTGCCTCCTGAACTGATGGCCACGAGTGGTGATACTTGTGCCATTTGCATCGACACCTTGGAGGACGATGACGACATCCGTGGTCTTACTTGCGGTCATGCATTCCACGCTGTCTGCGTCGACCCCTGGCTCACAAGCCGCCGTGCCTGCTGCCCTCTTTGCAAGGCCGATTACTACACCCCGAAGCCTCGTCCTGCTCCCGAGGGTGACGCCAACGCTAACGGCGACATGGCTCGCACCGCATCTCGCACGAACATGCCCAATGCTCCTCCTGCTGCCTGGTATAACCTCAGCGGCTCGCGCCTAGGATTTGGTGGTCGCAACAGAGGCAATCGCCAGAACAATGACCGCGCCAACCGCCGTCGACGTGCTCGCCAGCAGACTGCGACGAATCCCAGTCCTAACCCCCCTCAGTCACCCCCTGTGGCAGAGAACCAGGAATCCCGCGGTCTGCTCTCCAGCTTCCGCATGCCCGCATTCCGCAATCCTCTCAGACGAGGGGATCAGCAGCAGGGCGGCTCTCCCACCGCGTCTGGTGCGAACGTTACCCCGTCTCAGCTCGAAGCTGGTACTCAAAATGCCACCGCCACGACTACGGAGGCGCGGTGATTACTCATAAGCGACAAAAGTCGCCCGAAAAAAAGCGACTGTGATCTTTTTCCGTTGTGCTACTCTTGTACATCATACCCCCGAGACCAATTTGCAGATCTCAACATAGACTGCGATGTGACCGCATCTATACACGCTCACGACACCACTTTTCATACCCACCTTTACATATAACGTGTGTTCGGAGGAATAGCCCCAAGGAGTAAGAGGGGAAAGAAGGTTTGGCTGCCGCACCATGTGGCAGAAGGGAGTTGCATTACAGTCAGGGCGGACTGATTTGGCTTGGTTTGTATCCTCTGAATTCTGAGGAGAGCGGCGGAGTTGCGGCGACATGGGCATCACTCGACATGGAATAATGACAATTGACAATGTTCACAAAAAACTCCTTTTGATGGCTTTGTGCTTCTTCTGTGAAAATCTGTGGTTGGGCTAACTTGGTTAACCCAACCTGCTGCCGCCTATGTGGCCCTTTACGTTCGTCAAAGATATGACCCCTTTTGAAATCGGCCACCAAAATCTTTGGCACGGTTGAGCAACTCCCTGCGCTGAGCTGTACCGATCTTGCCGCCCAATGCCATATCCTTTTCTCTATCAAATGCCCTCTTGCTAGGGTCATCCTCCTCTTCGCCGTCCTTTCCAACCTTTGCGCCACTCTTCTTGTCTGTCTGATGCTCATCATACATACTCTTCCCCCGGGTTGCTGCGATGTTCTCGCTGATGCGCCTATCGCGTTCCTCTTCTTCTCTAGTACGACGCGGTTTCTGCTGCTCTGCTCCGCCGACTTCCCCTCCACGACCTAGCACAGCATCTTCGAGTCGCTTGCGCTTCTGTTCTGGCGTCTCTGTCCAGATGCTGCTGATACCCCCACCGCTGCCGCCCGCAGCCGATGACGATTTGCCGCTGGCGAATTTGCGATTCTTGAGCTTGGTCGGGTCGCGCTCTTGGTAACCAGATTGTGTCGGTGGTGCGAGCATCCAGTCATCGCGCTGAGGTGCGGCAGGGCCCGAGGCTGCCGCCGCGGCTGCTGCTACTGCGGCAGCTTGTGCTCGTTGAGCGGAGGTTGTTGACGAGGGAAGAGCAGGACCGTAGTCATCCTCCGAATCTGACGAAGAGTCGTCTTTCCCGCCCCGGTGAGCCGCTGGGGGGAGCGTGGGTCCTATAGGCTGTTTCGGAGGCAGAGTAGGACCTATTGAGGGCTTGGACTTGGAAGCATTCGGTGATGCCGCGCGAGGAGCGGATAGGCCGTAGCCGTCTTCTGAATCAGAGCCGTCGAGAGGTATCTCATTTGTATTCGTTGTGCTGGAAGGAGGCATTGTTGGACCAACGGCAGGATTAACGGTCGGCGCAGGTTCCTTGACTGATGCGCCAGGCACACTAGGTCCAAAACCAGCGTCATCGGAACTGTCGTCGAGATCGATCTCGTCGGTGTTTCGAGTCTGCTTTGTGGGCGGTGAGTCGGCGCTGACGTCGTCTGGGTTGCGCTTCCTCTTGGTGAGATGAGGTGGCAGCTGGGGCCCAATGGAAGACATAGTGAATGCTGCGATGTTGGCCGGGTGGTGGAGCGGTGGTGTTCAGTTTGAATTCGGGATATGTTGATCTGACAACTCACGACGCGTGTGGAGATTGGTCGCATTAAAGAGTGTGACCAGCGCTGTAAGGTGATGTAAGTGCTAAAGGAAAGCTCCACCGGGCTTGCGCCGTGACGATCAGAGGTCACTGCGACGTTGCTAGGCGCTGTCCGGCCCGCCGGAGAAACCGCGGTCCGTCGTAGAGCTCTGGGTGGCTGGAATGGGCTGTGCGCGTCCAACTGCGTAATGCGCTCCTACTAAGTGCAACTGATCATCCATTGACAAGTCAGCTTCTCCTCGTCTGATAGGAGCTTGAAAAGCAGAATCACGTTTCGAAAGGGTCCTCGCCTCATTTGGCCAGCTTCTATCATCCTCCAGCTGCTGTTTCCGATCGAGTCAGGCCCTCTCGCTCTCCCTCCCTGCTGAG